TGCTTACCCAAAGAGCAGGGAGCCTGTGGAATTAATTACCACAGAAGTAGCTGATGCCAAAACATTGACCGTATTCAAGGGGTGGCCAGATATAGCACTTGCGGCGGAGTCCTCCCTGGACTGACCTATTTCCTCCCTACCTCTCCACCTACACTCACCGTTACTGGCTCCATCCCCGCCTCTTTGACCTGTCTGTCTCCTCTCCACCTATCTTCTCCTCTATCCATCTTCTATCCGCCTCCCCCTCTCCCCCTATTTATTTCAGAACCCCCTTCCCCTCCCCCATTTCTGAAGAAGGGTCTAGGCCCGAAACGTTAGCCTTCCTGCTCCTCTGATGCTGCTTGGCCTGCTGTGTTCATCCAGCTCTAAACCTTGTTATTTCAGATTCTCCAGCATCTGCAGTTCCTACTATCTCTGGCCTAAATATGACTCCAGATCCAAAACAATGTGGATGATGCTTAGCTGACCTCTGGGCAATTAGGGATGGGCAATAAATGCTGCCCTCGCTAGTGATACCCACACCCCATGAATGAAGGAATGAATTGCACAATGTTCAACACAATTCATGACGCCTCAGATACTGAAGCAGTCCATGTTCAACAGCAGCAAGACCTGGACAGTATCCAGGCGTGGGCTGAAAACTGGCAAGCAACATTCACGTCACACAAATGCCAAGCAATGACCATGGGCATAAGAGACAATCTAACCATCACTTCTTGACACAACAATGGCATTACCATCACTAAATCCCCCACTGTTATCATCCTGGGGTTACCACCGACCAGAAATGCAATGGAATTGCCATATAAACAGAGTGGCTACAACAGCAGGTCAGAGGCTAGCAACCCTGCAGCAAGCAAGTCACCTCCTGGCTCCCCAAAGCCTGTCCACCATCTACAAGGCATAAGTCAGGAGTGTGATGGAATACTCTCCACTTGCCTGGATGGGTGCAGCTCCAAGAAAACTCAAGAAGGCTGACATCATCCAGGATAAAGCCACCTACTTGACTGGCACCACATCCACAAACATCTCTGTAGAAACTTGATGTCTGTGTTGATACCTGCAATCCTCTTGTGTATCGTCTCCACTTTGAACCTCCACATCATGGCTACCATGAACACCACAAACTGCCTGCTCAAAGTGAAGAAGATCTCCAAAAAGATCACGCATATTGATACAGATATTAAGTTTCTGCAGAGATGCAAGAAAGCAGAGAAGATCCCGAAAGGACTACAGATCACAAACTCATTCAAAGTCAACCTATCACACAGACTTAGCTCACAGACTCTGTTGTCACGCCTCTCACACACTCCTCAATCGTCTCGTACATAACTTTATGGCAGATGTTGCTATCTTGATTTCAAGATAGAGTCCATATTCTCAGCTTGCGTTCAGGACACAGTGGACCGGCTATGAGACACTGTCAAGCAGACAAGACAACGGACCTACGTCACCTACGTGCACACCAAGAACAGGAAACTTGAGAAATCTGGCATAACCATCGGCAATAACCAGGCTTCCCCCAGCACCATGGTTGAAACTGGTACCACCACAGCAAAGTCTGTTGTCAACCTGTCTGAGCACACCCTTCAACCAGACAAAATCAAATTTTCAGCCGACAGCTCAATTTCTGCCCCACTACCAAAATGGACCCCCCCTGGTCTCGTGGCAGAAACAGAGGAATTCATCAGGTGAATGAAGTTCTGGGAATTCTTCCTCAAACCCCAAGATGTCAGCAGTGAGCCCAATGAGACAACCAACAAACCGGAATAGTCGACAGAGAGATCCGCTGTGCAGCAACCAAAGAAGAATGAGCCGATTTGGACCCTCTGGAAGGCTGCTGCCCTAGGCTCGACGTATATGCTCAAGCTGTCAGGAGATGCATTTTTTTTCTTTATTCATTCACGGGATGAGAGCATCACTGGCTAGGCAGCATTTATTGCCTGTCCCTAATTGCCCAGAGGGCGGTTAAGAGTCAACCACGTTGCTGTGGGTCTGGAGTCACATGGAGGCCTGACCAGGTAAGGATGGCAGTTTCCTTCCCTAAAGGACATTAGTGAACTAGATGGGTTTTTCCAACAATCGACAATGGATTCATGGTCATCATTAGATCCTTAATTCCAGATATTTATTGAATTCAAATTCCACCATCTGCCGTGGTGGGATTCCAACCCGGGTCCCCAGAATGTTATCTGGGTCTCTGGATTAACAGTTCAGCGATAATATCGCTAGGTCATCACCTCCCCATCAACGCCAGATTCATCAGCTGCACTCACAAGTTAGTGCAGAATATCACCCAAGCACAAAGCAATGCCATCCATGCTCTGAAGACCAACTGCAATATTGTTATCAAACCAGCAGACAAAGGAGGAGCCACTGTCATACAGAACAGAATGGACTACTGCACAGAAGACAACTGAACAACTAGCAACATTACAGACAACTACCTGCTGATCGGGCCAAAGAACACACCCGTCAACTCAAAAGACTGATCAAGACCTTTGATCCAGCCTTAAGAGCATCCTATGCACTTTCATCCTGTGTACTTCTCACATAGGAGACTTCTACTACCTTCCGGAGATGCACAAAGCCAACATACCCGGACATCCCATTGTATCAGGCAACGGGACACTGTGTGAGAACCTCCCTGACTATGTCAAGAGCATCTTGAAACCAACTGTACAAGGAACCCCCAGCTTCTGTCATGACACTACAGACTTCTTACAGAAACTCAGTACCTATGGACCAGTTGAACTAGGAACATTCCTCGTCACAATGGACGTTTCGGCAGTCTGCACTAGCATACCCCACGATGATGGCATGGTTGCAAGAGTCTCAGTACTCAACACCAACAATTGCCAATTTCCAGATGCCATCCTACAACTCATCCGCTTCATCCTTGACAACATCTTCACCTTTGACAACATCAAGACACACGGAACAGCCATGGGAATCAAATATGCACCCCAATACACCAACTTCTTTGCTGCACAGGATCTCCAACCAACCCTGTACACCAGATACATCAATGACATTTTCATCTTTTGGATTCATGGTGAGGAATCACTGAAACGACTATACGACGATATCACCAAGTTTCATCCCATCATCAGACCTACCATGGATACTCTTCAGAATCCATCTCATTCTTGGACACACGCATCTCCATCAAGGTTGCACACCTCAGTACTTCATTATACTGCAAGCCCATGGATAACCTCACTGTACTTCACTTCTCTAGCTTCCACCCTAAACATGCGCAGGGCTTGGCATACACAGGATCTGTTCAAATTAGGAGGAACGCGATGAACACCTACAGACGCTGAAAGATGCCCTTATAAGGATGGGATACAATGCTCAACTGATCGATCGCCAGTTCCAATGTGCCACAGCAAAAAACTGCAACAACCTCCTCAGAAGACACGGACGTGACTGATACAGTACCCTTTGTCGTCCAGTACTTCCCCAGAGAGGAGAAACTACGCCATGTTGTTCGCAGCTTTCAACATGTCATTGGTGACGACGAATATCTCGCCAGGGCCACATGCACGCTTCTATTTCTCACCATCAAAGAACTGCCAAACCTCAAACAGGCCACCGTTCACAGCAAACTACCCAGCCTTCAGGAGAACAGTGACCACAACACCACACAACCGTGCCACGGCCACCTCTGCGAGACATGCCAGACTATTGACATGGACACTACCATCACACATGGGAACAGCACCCATGTACACGGTAAGTACTCATGTGACTTGGCCAATGTTGTCTACCTTGTATGCTGCAGGAAAGAATGCCCCGGAGCATGGTATATCGGGGAGACTATGCAGGCGCTACAACAATGGATGAATTGACACCACACAACTATTGCCAGGCAGGAGTGTTCCCTCTCAGTCAGGGAACACTTCAGCAGTCAAGGGCATTTGGCCTCCGACCTTTGGGTAAGCGTCCTCCAAGGCAGCAGTCAAGATACACAACAACACAATCGCCTAGCAGAAACTGATAGCCAAGTTCCATACTCATGAAGATGGCCTCAACTGTGATCTTGGGATCATGTTGCGTTACATGTAACCCCACCATACTGTTCTGTATCTGTAAAATCTTCTTTTCTGTCCTGTTTCAACACCATCACCTTGATAACTTGTTATGATCTCCCTACCTTAATTAGTTTGCACAATTTTGGATTATCTGTTACTTTGGTTAGACCCTCAGCATGCAACTCATATCTATTGTTATTTCAGCCATTTGGTTTGTCTCTAGCACCATCTTATTTTTGATTTTTGCAATTATATCTGCCTCAATCAATCAGATCACAGGTCATCCCTTCACTTGTTATTCAGCTGTTGACACTTTACTCACATCTGACACTTTTTGATGACCTGAAAAGACTTCTTATTCAGCCTGTCGACACTCCACTCACACCATTTGTACCATCTTTTGACACTCTTAATTACCTAGATATATCTTGCAATCATCTCTCTGCCTATAAATTCTGTGCCTGTGCACTTCCCTCCACTTCACCTGACAAAGGAACAGTGCTACAAAAGCTTGCAATTTCAAATAAACCTGCTGGACTATAACATGGTGTTGACTGACTTCTGACTTTGTTCACCCCAATCCAACACCAGCACCTCCAAATCATGGTTCCCAATCAGAGGCAGCACACCAAATCAGTTCAGATTTATGCTTTAAAGCTCATTGCTATCAGCGCATTCTAGGGTAAAACATATTTATGCATATTTTCATGGGATATAATGGGAAATGGACTTATTTTGTTTTACAGGGGAAACATCACTATCTGTGTTATTAAAAGTGTGAAAGGAGTGAGAATTAAAGGATCGCTCAAGTTAAGTTTTATATCTATAGTATCCTTGGTAGAGCAACGAAAATACTTATATTGAATAAAACAACTGCATGAAATTTTAACATTCGTGAAAGTTATAATAGGTCTCTGGAAATATGAACAATGTTGTACAGAGAAAATACGATAACCTGTTTACCTTTTTCCTGTGGCAGCAGGGGCGTCTCCACCTCCACCAACACTAGGTGCTCCCCCTTTGGTCTTTGTAACGGCAGCATCTTTTGCCCGGGATGGTGATGGAGTTGGGGAGGGTGAGGATGAGAATGACCTGGACCTGAGGAAATCATAACATTGAGTGAGTTATTCAATCACTCCTAGTACGACAGCCCTTTCATCCTTGGATGCAGTTTTCTACAAACCAGCCCCCTACAATTTTGTTTGAATTCCACACAAAATATTTCATTAAAGCGGGCAATGAATAATTGACGTGGCTTTAGGACTCCATCATCAGAACTGATTTCACAGGCGCATTTAACTCCTTATCTCAATTAATGATTTCAAAATTAACAGAAATACTTCTTTTTTAAACTAAAATGCAAAAAAAATGTGCACACCTGAAATGGACCTCAGTATGAATACAGCACATAGGAGCAGTTATTAAGGTTATTGAATAAGAAGTTATCTTTCTTAAAATAATCTGTCAAATTAATTTTGTTCCTGTAAAGAGAAAGAGCTATTTATTATGCATTGCGCATCTAGCTCTTCATGGTGGTTTTTCTAGTTCCTAATGCAATAAATTTCATGATGGTCACCTCCATCCAATCACAACTTGAGAAACCAAGCCTTTTTTGCTGCACTGACAAAAATTGCTACAGGTAACAACAAACCAAGATGATGTCTCAATTAAATGTAACAGTCAACGAACTAGGATTCTTTCTCAGCTGTGCCCAGGAGTCACAAACATCTTTGCCAACTTTCAAAACTGCCTGCCTAAACCAGTTCAGTTACTGATGCAGACAAAATATGTTTGTGTCATGCAATCACATTGGTAGCATTTCTTCCCTTTATCCATAAAATTTCTTGCATGTTGTGTAGTTAAGCTACACCTAAAGATAAGAGTTATATGCGATGATGCCTCGCTACTAAACAGCTAGTAGTAATTTTGCTTTTCATTATGCAGAGGCTCAAAGTAATTTTTTCTTCAAGACTGATATGGAGGGGAAGGCAATTTGGTACATTCAGGTTGATACATTCAGAAGAACCCTAAACAGCCTATTCTAACAATCATTTGATTCAAAACCTGTTTTTTTTTGTTTTCACTGTTCCCTGAAGATAGGAATTAAGAGCGAGAGCAGGCAATGCAGTCTTTCAAACTTGCTCCACTTTTTAACATGACTATGACTAATCTTATCTTGGCTACAACACTTTCCTGCATGCTTCCGACAGCCCTTTATCATGCTTTTTATCAGAAACATATGTATTTCTTTCATGAATCTGTTGATTGATTTTGCCTTTGCTGCACCCTGGGGCAGTTCCAGATTCACAACCGTCTGTTTCTCCACATCTCAGTTTTTAGCCTATCCATGTAGGGAAATCAGCCGGGGATTCTCTAATGCTATACACTGCAAAAATACCTTCACTGCTCAGTGTACACATTGAGTTTTCTACATTGCCATGGTCTATAATACTGGCTTTAAACAATCTTGTTAATAGGGGCCAAGCCATTTGCTCACCTTGCAAATGTGACGTTAAAAACAAAGTCCATTAAAGCTGTCCTGCAAGAAAATGGCTACTTTAATCGGAACATTTTTCAGTGTTTAGCGTACAAACTCATGACAGGTTCAGATGGTTACTCTTGGCCCTGAAAAATGCTCAGTCTACCTCAGATTATTAAGGTAAGATATCTCAAAAGCTTGAGCAATAGCCGAAATTAGCTATGTAGTAGCAACACAGATGACATTTGCTATTAACAGGATGAAGTTGTCAAGTCAAAACGACATTGTGCCTATCATACAAATGAGTAACATGGTGTATGAATTTCAGTGCTGGTATGACGTCAGGCACACAGGCAATATGACTCAAAGACTGGCAGATTGCAAACAGAATATTCCTTCGGCTGGTCATAACAAGCAAGGTACTAACCATTCTCAACCAGCCGACATAGAGTCATAGAGTCCTACAGCACAGAGACAGGCACGTTGGCCCAAACTGGTCCATGCTGAACAAAACATCCATCCACGCTAACCCCGTTTCCCTGCACTTGGCTCATGCTCTTCTAAACCTTTCCTATACATGTATTTATCCAAATGCCTTTAAAATGTTGTTAATGTACCCGCCTCAACCGCTTCCACTGGCAGCTTATTCCATATGCGTACCACCCTGTGTAAAAAAGTTGCCCCTCAGGTTCCCACGTATTCTTTCCCCTCTTTCCTTAAACTGATGCCCTCTAGTCCTCGATTCCCCAACTCTGAGAAAAAGACTGAGTGCATTCACCTTATCCATGCCTCTCATGATCTTGTTCACTTCTATAAGATCCCTCCTCGGTCTCCTACGCTCTAAAGAAACAAGTCCTAGCGTGTCCAACCTCTCCCTATAACTCAGTCCCTTAAGTCCTGGCAACACCATTGGAAATTTCTTCTGCACTCTTTCCAGTTTAATAACATTCTTCCTGTAGCAAGGTGACCAAAACTGAACAGAATACTCCAAGTGCGATCTCACCAATGTCCTGTATAGCTGCAACATAACTTCCCAACTTCTATACTTAATGCCCTGATTGATGAAGGCCAGTGTGCCAAAAGCCTTCTTCACTGCCCTGTGACTCTACTTTCATAGAACCGTGCACCTGAATTCCAAGATCCCTCTGTACCACGACACTCAAGGCCCTACCATTCACCATGAAACTGCTACCTTGACCTGACTTTCCAAACTGCAACACCTCACATTTATCTATATTAAACTCCATTTGCCATTTCTCAGCCCACTTCCCCAGCTGACCAAGATCCTGCTGCAATTTCCGATAACCTTTCTCACTGTCCATGATCCTGCCTATTTTAGCGTCATCCGCAAACGTACTAATAGTCATTCACATCCGAATCATTGATATAGATAACAAACAACAATGGGCCAAGCAACTGAGCTGTGAGGCACACCACTAGTCACAGGCCACCAGTCCAACAAGTATCCTTCTACAATACCCTCTGCTTCCTACCATCAAGTCAACTATATATCCAATTTGCCAGTTCTCCCTGGATTCCATGCAATCTAACCTCCTAGAGCAGCCTACCATGTGGAATCTTATCAAAGGCCTTACTGAAATCCATATGGACTATGTCTACCACCCTGCCCTAATGAACCTTCCTGGTCACTTCATCAAAGGTCACTACACTTGGAAAACTCGGAGGGAAGTGTCCAACATTAGATTTTGCAATTAGACAAAATTTGCTGGACAATCCTGCATACACAAAGGTTTACAATGGGAACCAATTTAGGATTGTTAGACTGGTTAGCGGCATGGTGTACTTGCATGTACTGGAAGACACATATATTTGTACACAGGGCCCTGATCTTTGCAGATGGAAAGAACACACATTCTGCCTGATTCAACTGAACACCAATCAACCTGCCTGGTTGAAAATTTATGCAAAGCTGGCCGTTAATTCAATCCTCATTAATTGTTGCATTCTCTAAGCAATGCTCTGTCAGTCAGAGTCTAATTGTCAACCAAAGTCAACCACTATCCTCTCACAAAGTATAAATGTTACTTTACCCCAAATTGGTACTCCTGCGAATTGTCCTCATTGTTGCAGAACTAAAAGCTTTGACAAATTGTCCTTTCTTCTGCAATATTTAATGTGAACATATTTAAGGCTAAAATAAAGACAAACTTTTGGTTCCTCAGGAAATCAAGAATTTGGAGCACACAGGAAAGTGGTCTTAAGACTGATGATCACCCTGACTGTACTGAAGAGCACGGTCAAGCAGCCTTTTGGTTCTACTAATTTTTACCTATGATCTTCATTATGCTCATATTAGCTCACTGCTGCACCTATGCAATGCACTCCACTTGCCTATTCTTCATTTCCATCATATTCAAAGTCATTGTCGTCTCCTCTTTCACTGCTAAATTGGCAGCATTCAGTTTTCTGAGGAGGATAAATGCAACAAGATGCAATTTTGTCTACCTGGGCAGATTCATTTTTCAGATCCTAAAATTAGCTCTCCTTTAGGTAAATTTTTTAATAGCTGATTACCCTTGTTTTTTTCCATAACTATTCTGATTTCATCATTACTCTCCAAAACTCTCCACTGCATTTGTTCTATTTCATTCTCCAGCATAAGTAGTTTCTTCCTTGTCAAGCATGGTGCTCTTGTACATGTTTCAGGAATGCCCTTAAAATCGTTACTACCTGAACAATTGGAGTCCCCTGGCTTCACAACAGTTCTCAAATCAAAAGAAGAGTAATTTGCTCCATTCAGAGAACGCATTACCTAATTACATGCAGCATTAAAAATTTATTTCGGGATAAAGTGGAACGGAACACTTCCTCATAGGCTGCTATTCTCAACAATAGATATTTCAAATTGCAATCTTTGCCTTTATCTGAAAATAGATGAGGAAGTTGGAGTGGAACCACAAGTTCTCCCTCCCCACATTGAATGATTTGATTGTGAGTCCCTCTGAATGGAAAATAATATAATAGCAATAATGTTATAATCTAAACTGGACTTCCAAATAATCGCATCCAATTGCCTCTTTAAACTAACTCTAGGCTGCAGTAAAATTCTTGGTCAATACTAGTAGGTCAGGCTCACTTGTGGACACTGGGAGATGAATCTATCAGGTGTGTACAGAGTGCTGACACGAGACTGCTGACTTCACCCCTAAAAGAGTCACTCACCTAAGGTAGAAGATCAAAAATCACACGACACAAGGTTACAGTTCAACAGATTTATTTTAAAACATTATCTTTCGGAGCTCGGCTTCTTCCTCAAGAGTGGTGTGGAACAGGAGGTATACCGACACAGAATTTATAAGCAGAAAGGCAACAACCCTAAAAATAGCTTGTTGGCTGCCTCCTGTTGAATCTTTAATCAGTTAGAAAGGAGACGCAGGTTTGTATTGATTGAAATGCAAATGTCTATCTCATACGCTGTAGGCAAGGATGCCCTGAGGCATGGTTTAATGGCGAAAACATGCACACGCTATGGCAATGGATGAATGGACACCGCTCAACAATCGCCAGAAAGGGATGTTCCCTCCCAGTGGGGGAACACTTCAGCAGTCAAGGACGTTCAGCCTCCAATCTTCGGGTAAGCATCGTCCAAAGTGGACGTTGAGATACACAGCAATGCAAAATTGCTGAGCAGAGGCTGATACCAAGTTCCGTAAGCATGAGGATGGCCTCAAATGTGATCTTGGGTTCATGTTGCACTACAGGTGACCCTACCATACTATACACACTCACACACACGCACACATACACTCACACTCTCCCACACAAACACACTTACACACACACACCCCCACTCTCTCTCAAGCGTGGGCGCACAGACACACGCACTCTCTGTTTCTCACACAAGCACACACTCACTTTCTCTCTTGTGCGCGCGCGCACACACACGCACACGTATGGGATTTAGATACATTCTATTTTGTTTGGAAAAAAAATACCAGCCTGACTCCACATTAAAACACAGATTCTTAAACAAAGCCTCACACCTAAAATGCATTGTCTGACCTGAGATTTCACCTCTTGTATACACTTTTAAAACTTTTAATTATCTCAAGGCAATAATTTGAAAGAAATTCTGGGATTTGCACTTTAATCAATAGAAACCTGCATCTCAGTTGAACAAAGATTCAACAGGTGGTGGTCAGGAAGCCATTTTTAGGGTTGTTACCTTTCTGCTTATAAATTTGGTGTTGGTATACCTCCTCTTCCACACTCCACCTGAGGATGGAGCAGAGATGTGAAAGCTAGTGTTTTCAAATAAACCTACTGGACTGTAACCTGGCGTCGTGTGATTTTTGACCTTATCCACCCCAATCCAGCACTGGCATCTCCACATCAAGCAGATGTTAGACACTTCTTATGCCCATTATCAGTGGCCAATTGTTTGGAAAATACGTTCAGTTCTCCCTTAAAAACAAATTCATGATATTTTATACTCTACTAGTGGGGCTGGGAAGAATGCAAGAGTTAATCTGTTGAACTGACTACAAAATAAAGTCTGAACAGAGCAGATGCATTTGTATTTATGCTGATTCATGCTGATAAAATGGGACTCTGAATCCCACCTTGATCTGCTTCCAGAATAAGAGCTGTGTCTGGAGGAATGGCTGGAATAGGAGGTGTAAGAGGATGATCTTGAGTGCGACCTTGAACGTGACCTGGATGATCCAGATCCTGAATAGGAAGAAGAACGAGAAGATGACCTGAAAAAGATATAAAAAAAAGCACTGTTGACTTCAAAACATCATAGGTAGGCCGATAACCACAAAGTTTAACAAAAAAATCCCTAGATTCTGGAGAGGTCCCAGCAGATTGGAAAACTACAATTGTAATACCTTATTCAGGAAAGGGGCAGATAGAAAGTAGAAAACAATAGGTCTGTTAGTCAAACATCTGTCATTGGGAAAAATTTAGAACTCATTACGAAGAAAGTCATCACAGGGCATTTAAAAAATCAAAACATAATCAGTGAGAATCAAGATAATTTCATGAAAGGAAATTCTTTAATCTAGATCTTTGGGGATCTAACAGAAGGAATGGATAAAGGGGAACTAATACATGCGAGCCAACTGAATTTCCAAAATTCTATAAGGTGCCACACAAAAAAATGGCTCATGGTGTTGGAATAGATAATATTCAAGCATGAATAGAAGATTGACCAACAGGAAACAGGGAGAATGAATAAATGAGTCGTTTGTAGGTTGGTAATCTGTAACTAGTGGACTGCCAAAGGGATCAGTGCTGGGGCCTCGTCAATGAATGGACAGACTGTATAATGGGTAAATTTGCTGATACACAGGTAGTAGGAAAGCAAGTTGTGAAGAGGATACAGAAAATCTACAGAGTCATATATATGATGGAGCATAATGTGAGGGTAACCATTTTAGTGGAAGAACAGTAAAGTATCCAGGGCAAAGCAGCCTGCTTGACTGGCACCTCATCCATCACCTTCAACATCTACTTCTTGACCAATGACACAGAGTGACACAGGTGGCTGTCAATTACAGGGTGCACTGCATTACCTCACCAAGGTTCCTTCAATAGCACCTTCCAAACCTGTGATCTCAACTACCAAGAATGGCAAGGGCATCAGATACATGGGAACAGTAACTTTCCCTCCAAGTCACTCACCATCCTGACTTGGAAATAAATCAATATTCCGTGACTGTCACTGGTTCAGAATCCTGGAACAGCCGTCCAGACAAATATAGTGGTTGTACTGACACCCCAACAATTGCAATGGTTCAAGAAAGCAACTCACCACCACCTTCTTGAGGGCAATTAGAATTGGGCAGTAAACACAGGCCTAGTTAACAACATCCATATCCCGTGAATGAGTTAAAAGAAAAATTCTGAGGGGGCCTGACAATGTAGTTGCTGGAAGAATGTTTCCTCTCATCATGGAATTTTAAATTAAGAGGGACTCAGTTTAAAAATAAAGGGTTTCCTATTTGAGATGGAGAAAAGGAGGAATTGCTTCTCCCACTGGGTCATTAGTCTTTGGAATGTTCTTCAAAAGATAGATGTAGAGGTTGGGTCACTGAACATATTCAATGCTGAGTGAGACAAATTTGTGTTCTCCAAGAGAGTTAAAGATTCTGGGGGTGGGGCGTAAGGAAGTGGGATTAATTCCACAATCAGATCAACCAAGAATTTATCAAATGGTGGAGCAGTTACTATGGGTTTAATAGCCTTTTCCTGTTCTTATTTTCTTATGGTCTTATTAAAGTTTCTCAGGCCTGTTCAACGATTCAAGTGCCTTCTGAGGCGACCAACATGGCAGGTATCCAATCACATCAGCACAAAGAGTAAAGCAAAATCTCCTCGTTCTATAATGGGAAATTCAAAACAGTTATGGAATGTACACCACGTAAACTGGGAAAATTAACTTGACAGAAGTAGCAACAAGGAACAAAAAAAAAGTCACGGAATGTACTTGGGACAGTTGCTATTTTGGATATAGTACTGTGTAATGAGGCTGGTTTAATAAATGATCTCATTAAAAGATTCCCCAAGGAACAGTGACTGCAACGTAATAGAATTTAGCATTTATTTCAGAGAGAGAAGTTGGGTTGATAACAACTATGCTAAAGGCAAGGCCAGACGGTCATTGCTTTAATGCTAGAAGTGTAATTCGTAAGGCAGATAAGTTAATGGCATGGATTGACACATGGTAGTGTGATATTGTTGCCATCACAGAAACACGGTTGAGGGAGCGGTTGGACTGGCAACTCAACATTCTGAGGTATAAGATTTTTAGGTGAGATACAGGAGAGTGTAAAAAGGGTTGTGGTGTAGCACTAATGACTAAGGAGTCAATTACTGCAATAAGAAGGAATGATATCTTAGAAAGATCCTCAAATGAGGCTTTGTGGGTAGAACCTAGAAATATTAAGGGGGCAACCGCTTTACCAGGAATGTATAATAGGCCCACAAAGAGTCAGCAGGAAATAGAGGAGCAAATATGTCGACAGTTCACAGAAATGTGCAAGAGTAACAATCGGGTAATTATACTAGGGGATTTCAACTTTCCCAACATAAATTTAAGTAGACACAGTGCTCAAGGTTTAGAAGGGCTGAACTTTGTGAACATATCCAGGGGAGTTTTTGTCTCAATATGTAAAAGGCCCAACAAGAGAGGTGCAGTGCTGGACCTGGTTCTGGGGAAAGAAGCCAGACCAGTGTTCAATGTGGCAGTGGGAGAACATTTTAGCGATAGCGACTACAACACGGTCGGGGGAAATGTAGAAATCTTTTTTCTCATTTGTGGGACGTGGGCGTCGTTGGCCGGCCAGCATTTATTGCCTGCCCATAGTTCCTCTTAAGGAGGTGGTGGTGAGCTGCCTTCTTGAACTGCTGTGGGTTGACCTGCAATGCCGTTAGGGAGGTAATTCCAGCATGTTAACCCAGCAACAGTGAAGGAACGGTGGTGGTTGATGGGAAATGTTCATCCTGGAGTTCAGTTACTAGTG